AAGTCAACGAGCTGCAGTTTAGAGTTCTGGAGTACTGAATCACTCAAGGGCACTGAAGATGTTACCTAGCTGGGTAATGAAACGTTTGCAAGAAAAGAAGCAAGCTCAGAGAACCCCAAGAACTCCACAGTTCACCCCTGAGCTACACATATTTTCCTCTATTGGTACTCAAGGGCTTGTCTCCAGCGGCGTTTTGATTCCTCTTTCTGTGTCACATTAGACCTGTTTATAGAAATTTTAATTTCAAATATCAGTGTGCAATCTGAGGATATCATAAGTCATTTGGGCATGTGAGATTCTTAACTTCTGTATTGTGTGGTTTAGCTTCCCACGTAAAGATGGTTTCACTGATAGTAAATTCTTAAAGAGGACATGAATTGGATATATGGTATTTTATTCCATATATAGAATAAATAAATACATACATACATACATATTACATGTATGTAATAGTAAGAGCATTTTATGGATGCAGACGTAATTAAAAAAAAAATCCCAGTAAAAATGGATGTATTGGTTCCAGAAGATATATCAGCTCAGCTTTTGCAGAGCTCCAAAAAGAGACTTTAAATCTACCTACTGCACTGATCTAGTTTTATTATATTTTCACACCTTTATTTGCCCATTCCTTTTGAAATTGAAGCTGCTACTTACCTCTTTTTCTTCCTGTGTTTGAATGTGACTCTGAGTCCATGGATACATATAAATTTAGTAAATAAATAAAACACATAATCCTAATTATTATTAAAATAATAATAGTCTGCACAATATGTACAGCTTTTTCCATGGCAGTTTCTGTTTCATATTTTTCTTATAAGACAGTTTCTTTTGGAAGCTAAACTTCAGTGCACTTGATTGCTTGGTGACTAAAGGGAAGGCTGGAAGATTTTTGAGTAGAAGTTTTCATTGTGTATCATAAACAAATGGTGACAAGCGCCAACTTATAATTTATACAGCTCTACATTTTTCTGTTCCAAAAGACACTCAAGCAAAACAAAGCTTGAGAATTTCTTAATAGGAATGCAAAATAAAAAGCATGGGAAACAACTTGCAAGGCTCAAAGGAAATTATGGGAGGCAAGATTTGTCTCTTGTTGAATGCAGATAATTTATATGTTCCAAACTGCAAAACAGGTAAGAGTCAAACAGTATGGGTGCTCAGTATCATCTAATTTTAATAATTAGCTGTTTTTAAAAACAGAAAAACTCTAAAGGGTGGTGTGTTGTCATATTTTGTAGAATTTGGTATAACGGTATTTGAGCTACTAGTGTTTTTTACCAGGATGGGACAAAATTTACAGTATAGCTAGATTGCTACTTAGAGACAAAGCTTGCCAAACTCAGTAGAAATTGGTATGGGGCTTTTCAGTATATGCTCCTTTACATTGTAATTTTTAAAATGTTCCTATTTTAAAATTTGTTTTATTTTTGTAGTGACACTTGTAGCAAAGTTCATCTTATAATGATAAATGTTTGTGACAAATTACAGAGAGATGGGGGTTGCACAGAAAGAAGGGATGATGAGAAAGAATAATGGTGCCCTTTCATGATTTGACTGGAGCAGACTATCAAGAGTAGAGGGTAGGGAAAAATAGAAGAAAATTAACTAATCTTTTCCATAAAAGAAAATACAGTCCTTAGCCTAGTCAGATAGATGAGACACTCCTCCCCAAACATCTTAGAACTTCTGAGATGATTGCTTGGAAACAGTGAGGTGAGCAAGTGATTAAAGGAAGAAACCTTTTTACTATCCTGCCTTCTAACGCAATTGATAGAGCAAGTGATTATAATCTGATGACTTCTGATTTTGAGGGCAGAATTGTCAATTAATGAATCCAGTGCTTCTTTTCTCTCCCTCCCCTTTCCTATGAAAACATTTCAGTAGACTAACATTGCCAGAAGGTACTATTTTTAAAACAATTTCATTCCTTGCAAAACAGTCTCAAAACACAAAACAGGCCAACAAGGTTGGGATCATCTGAATCTCAGGGGGGAAGTTGTTCCCATAGGGCAGGTGCAGCAACAGAGAAGACATATTTCCTGGGTCCCACTAGATGATATTGTTTCACAGAAGCACCTTGGAGCATGCCCACCCTGCCAGTCTGGTGGCATGGGCAGAAACCATTGGACACATCCAACAAGTAACTAGGTATATACCATGGAGGGCTTTAAAGGTGGCAAATAACATTTTAAATTGAATCCAGAAACCTGCAGGGAGCCAGTGGAGCTCACATAGCACTAGTGTTAGATGGATGTACCAAGGGGTGCATTCTGGAGCAGCTGCAACTTCCATTGCTTTTCAAGGGCTCTCCTGTGTAAAGCACATTGCAGGAATCCGATGGAGAAGTGACTAAGGTATGACTGACCATGAGCAGAGCCTGCCAGTCCAGGACCAGGTACAACTGGCACACAAGATATTTTGTGCAAGGGCCTTCCTGACTCTGGCTGCCATCTACTCTCAAGCAGGAGCTGTGAGTCCAGAAAGATCTCCAGCTTATGCACCAACTCAGTCTGGGGGAGTGTTACCCCATCCATGTTTAATGAAAGATTTCTAGATCTGGGGAACCCTAAACCACACAGCCACTCAGTCTTACTAGGGTTGAGTCAAAGCCTGTTATTCCCATCCAGATGCTCACAACTTTGATACACTGGGAAAGAATCTTGACACCATCACTTGGATGGTTTCAGCAGAGATGCATATTTGAGTATCATCACTATACTGATGGTAGTTAACCCCCTGCTAACAAATTACCTCACTCAGCAGCTTCATATAGTTGTCAAATAGCTGTGTGAAGAGTTGTGGAAGCCTGAGGCTCCTGCAAAACAAAAGGCCTAGGGCAAAACCTCCCCCCCCCCAACCGCCACCACCAACTGGAACCAGCCTTATAGAGGAAGGAGGAGAACCATTGTAGAAATGTGCCCCTTACTCCCAGCCCTCCAGATGGATACTATGACTCATGAAAATGTACTGTTCACTCCAGTCCAGATGGATTCCATGATCAAGGAGTGCTAGTACAACAATCCCATCCCAAATCTGCCATAGGTCATCTACAGGCACAAGCAATGCTGTCTCAGTGCTGTAACCCAGTCTGAAACCTGACTGAAAAGGGTCTAAATAATCTATTTCCTTCATGAGCTGTAAACATCCCACTTTCTCAACAACCTTCCCTAAAAAGGGAAGAGTGGAGACTGGGCCAAAATTTCCAGTACCATTAAATCCAGTGATTACTTGTTAAGGAGAGGACAAACCACCACAGGTGAACTATCCCCTTCTGCAAAGAAGCCTTCACCAACTACAACTGCTTGGATCCAGTTAAATGCTGTTTCCTGGGAGACCTTAATCAGCCAGGAGGCGTATGAGTCTAATGTGTAGGTGACAGCACCCAAAGCCCCAAGGACCCTGTCCACTTCCTCAGGACTACTTGGCTCAAACTCTCCTCAGATAACTCAGCAAGACCATGCTTCAGTCAGTTCCATAGGACCTGACAGCCACAATCCAATTCTGAGCAAATCCAGATACCTGAATGCAATCTTGCAGAGGTACCCCTGGCCCTTTCTTGTCTAGGAGGGATCAAGTCACCTGAAACAGTCACTAACTGACTATCTGCAGATATGAAAAGACTGGAGAAATAAGCATGTTTCCCCACTCTTATCACTGCAAAGTAATCTCTAATAAAGATTTTACCTCTGCTCAGTCAGTTTCACCGTTTGTCTCCTCCAGTGATGCCCTAGGCATCTCTTGTGCCATTTCACCTCCTGGATTTCCTCTGAAACCCAAGGGGCTTTCCATGGTCTACATGCACAGAGAATCCATGCAGTTGTGATATGATCTAAAACTGTTGTTGCCCACTCTTTCCAAGCAGCAGCTAAGTCCTTGGTTAAGCTGTGTAACAGAGTTTCAGGAATTATTCCAGGTTGCCCCTGGAACCCCACCAAGTCCAGCAGACGCCTGTGGAGGGTAGCCACAGAGAACTAGAAGGGTGGCAGGAGTGATCTGTTCATGATGAGGGACAGATGACAAATCCCGTAATTCACCACTGCCCGGAGACAAAAAACAAATTTCAGTATAGGGGTGAGGAGCGAGGGCAAAGAGTAAAGCACAGTCAGACTTGCAAGCTTCTGTTAGTATAGTCAGTGTTAATAAAAATAATTTGAGCCTTTTTGTGGGATTGATTTCTTGGTTTGTCTATATAGTGGGGCTGACATCAGTCTTGTAAGTCTGACTGTGCTTTACAGTTTTCCCTGTCTCCTCTGTAACATGTGAATTAGGGAGGTGCCTGCCTGAGTCATTTGCGCATACTTCTTGTTTTGGACTTAAATCATGTTTTTCCCCTTGTTGCTTTGGGAATGGATATGGCGTATCTCTATCAGGGTCATCTTTTTTACTGTCTACACATTCAGCCTAGCAGGAACTACTGTCTCCCTTTAGCAGCCATTTTTAAAGACCACTCACAAGTAGAGATGTGCAAAATACATAGTTTCAGGGGCAGAATTTTTCATATTTTTCCCCAGACTCTGCTGATCTGGTCACTATAAGAATGGTCCTGAAGATTTCCAAAACAGGATATGGTTTGTGGATGTGAAAAGTTCTACTCTTAAAAGGGTATATTTTGCACATCTCTACCCACAACTTTCTCTCAGAATCCTACACTTCCTCTACCAAATGACCTACCCTGGATAAAGTTGAAGTCTCTCTTGACTTCTGGTGACTATATGACTGTGTCCACGTTGCTTTCTTGGCAAAATAGTATCAGTGAGAGACTTTGAGCTCTGGGGGATCTTGAGTGCTTTATAAGACATTGTTACAAAACCATAATATAGGTTCTTTGAGTATATTGTCCCAATCCAGTCATGGAGATCTATAAATTGTAGTTTCTGCCTTTGCGCATTGTATAAATTCAGCCAATTCTTACTTATTCACTGACCCCGGCTTAATAAATGATGGCTTTATGCAGTATGCGTATGTTGATATCTGTTTACCTTGATTAAACTTTCTTGTAGTTGGCAAACATGAACTGACGGGGCACAAAGTTGCGGTGAAGATCTTGAACAGACAGAAAATTCGCAGTCTTGATGTTGTGGGGAAAATCCGCAGAGAGATTCAGAATCTGAAACTTTTTCGGCATCCGCACATAATTAAACTGTAAGTTTTTTTTTTCAGAATAAGCTCTCTTATTTGGGGTGTTTCTTGAGAAACTGAGCATTCTTGTTCAGTGGATAAAACAAATGTAGCCTGTTTTTCAGGTACGGTCCTGTTTGTTGTGCCATAAACCACTAATAGCAGGCCACCATTTATAAATTGGATGGAGTTGGGAAGCTGATGACTTCAGTGTCAAATAAAGGATTATTGGTAACCAGCCCAGTAATGAAAATGAACAGTGACTCCTCAGTGGCCTGAGAAAGGGATGTTGTTGTTGGTGTAGTAAAGCAGCAAGGAAGGCATGAAATATTTTTACCTAATAGGAGATAGGTTGTTTTTGCTAAAACATGGAATGGCAAACTGTTCCTGCTCTCAGCAGAGACTTAACCCTGTGTAATAGTTGCCCCAGGACTCTCAAGCCAGGTTGCTCTATGCTTTGCCTGATGAGATTATTTATTTATTTATTTATTCAATTTATATAGCCGCCCATCTCAGACCAGTGACTCTGGGCAGCTAACAATAATAAAAACAGTCAAATAATTAAAATAATACAGAAAATTAAATATAAATACAGCCAAGAGATCTTAAGAACCATCGGTGTCAGCATAACCATGAAAGAGGGCCCGTCGCACACTCAGGGCCCCAGGCCTGGGCATAAAGCCAAGTCTTCAAGGCCTTCCGAAAAGCCAAAAGGGTCGGGGCCATCCTAATCTCAGGAGGGAGGATGTTCCAGAGGGTGGGCACCACAGCAGAAAAGGCACGTCTCCTGGTCCCCGCCAGCTGACATTCCTTGGCTGACAGGACCCAGAGTATGCCCATCCTGCCGGACCAGGTTGAATGGGTAGAAACAACTGGGAAAAGATGGTCCCTAAGGTAACCTGGTCCCAAGCCATGAAGGGCTTTAAAGGTGACAACCAGCACCTTGAATTGCACCTGGAAACACACTGGCAACCAACACAGCTCCTGAAGCAGTGGTGTTACATGTGCCAAGTAGATACTATTTACAACCTGGGCAGCTGCATGCTGTACCAGCTGAAGCTTCTGAATGCTCTTCAAGGGCAGCCCCATGTAGAGTGCATTGCAATAGTCCAAACGGGAGGTCACAAGGGCAAGAGTGACAGTGAGTAGAGCCTCCTGGTCCAGGAATGGGCACAACTGGTGCACAACTCGAAGGTGTGCAAAGGCCCCAGATTGCATATCAGGTCTGCCTGCGGCAGTGCTACCCCATCCAGGACCAAAGATAGAAAAACCTTGGTACTGGGAGGCCCAAACATCCAAAGCCACTCAGTCTTGCTTGGGTTGAGCTGGAGCCCATTGAGCTCCATCCAGGCCCCTACAGCCTGCAGGCACTGAGATAGGACATCCACGGCATCACACAGACAGCCCGGGGAGGAGATATAAAGCTAGGTATCATTAGCATACTGATGATACCTCACCCTGAACTGTTGGATCACCTCATCCAGTGGCCTCATGTAGCTGTTAATAAGAGGGATGAAAGAACCGAGCCCTGTAGCACCCCACACAGTAGGGGCTGTGGACTGGACCTCTCCCCTCCTACCAACACCGATTGGAACCGACCCCGGAGGAAGGAGGAGAACAAGCGCAACACAGTGCTGCCCACCCTCAACTCCCAAAGCCAGTCCAGAAGGATACCATGACAGATGGTATCGAAGGCTGCTGAGAGGTCAAGAAGAGCAAGGATGGAAGCACTGCCCCCATCCTGCTCCTGCCAGAGGTCATCCAAGAGCACAATCTCAGTCCCATATCCCAGCCTGAATCCTAACTGAAAGGGATCCAGATTATCCGCTTCATCTAGAGCCCTTTGAAGCTGCCGTGTGACCACTTTCTCAACAACCTTTCCTAAAAAGGGGAGGTTGAAGACTGGATGAACTATCCAGATTAGTTTTCGTCCAGTGATTGTTATCTGAGTAAAGAAAAGGTTATCATTTATGGTCAGAGAACAAAGGTCTTTAGCAGTGCAGCAGTTGAGTTATTGCACTAGCTTCTGGTCATTCTGTTTTTCTCACCCATTATGGCTTAGGCTGGCTATCGTATATAGTATATAGGTCCATTTCCTCAGTGCTGGAATTTGGCCCTTAGATCAGCATTTGAACAATAGAAGGGTAGCTAGTAGTGGGGAGTGGGCAACAGAAGCACATATCTAGTAGCAGTGGAGAAGGTAAGGAAGAAGAGAAACAGAGTTTGAGATGGGTCACCTAATGCCTATATCACACACACACACACACACACACACACACAAGTTACAGTTTCCTGGTTACCCTAGTAAATACAGTGGTACCTCGGGTTACGAACGCTTCTGTTCATGACCAATTCGGGTCACGAACAGCACCGTTCACAAAATTTTGCTTCTGTTCGCGAACTCCACATCGGGTGATGAACAGGATCTGCGGCCATTTTCCCTGCTGTGGCACGTGGTCGTGGCTTCCTGTAGGGAGGGGGACTCTCCCTCAAACACCCACCTTCCTGTCCTCCACGCCAGAAGTCGCCTCGAGCAAGGTTAGTGTTCTCTCTCTTC